AATTAGAACGCGCGACGCGACGAAGAAAATGGAAGAACGCACACGTACACGGAGCTACTTATTTCAGTATGCCAAACGGCCCCCTTTCTGGCCTATATGATAAACCCGCGAGCAATCATCCATTTTCTTCGCCGGCCGCGGCGAGCCGTATGTCTCGCCTGTCGTGTCGCCGCGCTCTGATATGCTCAACTATTTTAATTAATATCTCGAAATTTTACGTGGTTGTTTGAAAAATGGCCTATATAATTTTTGTTCACTTTTATGTGTTCTATTTATATTTTTCTTTTGGTCCGTCTTACGCGGGACACCTTGTATATGATAAAGCACCTTTGGGAACATAGTCACATGTACCTATATTTGCCAAATATTCCAACCCTGTATATCACCACGGGACATTTTTTACTTTTCTGATATTTTTTTGTACATACGTAAATTTGTATAAAATGAGGTTACAAAATATATCTGATCAAACTATTCGTTTATTGCTCTTATATGTAAATTTTGGCTTCAATGAGTATATCCTAATCGTGCAATAAAAGTCTTATTAATATGCTCTTATTAATATTATTCAATATAAATTTTCTGTGAATAAGATTTTGTATGTTATATCTCCAAGACATGAATGAATAACTAAACTTGCTCTTTGATTAATTACAACTCGACGTTAATTCGTGATTCATATAATAGTGAATGTATATTCAATGTTAAAAATAAAACTTCTCGTGGAAGAATAGCTTGAGCTACTCTAGGAATACTTTGCGTAACGTAACTGTGAAATCTCGTGAGATTTCACATAAAACCCTATTCATGACAACGTAATAAAGTTGCACAGAAACTTACCTTTGAGAAACGATGGTGGTTGTGGGCTGATGTCGTCGTCGTCGTCGTCGTCGTCGTCTCGAGGCAAGTCGACGTCGAGGAGATGACGGCGGGCAATGGGTGAAATGTAGGGGCGTTGAGGGGGTGAGAGATGACGGATAGAAGGGCGCTTCGGGGATACGGAACGGATGGGAAAAAGTGACGGTGGGCGAGCAGCGAGTGCTCGAGACGGTTACGCGAGTCGGTGGATGAGCGCGACGGTAGCGTCGCGGGAGGAGGAAGCGCCGGATGCGCTCTAGGAGAGCCCGAGGAGAGTGCGGAGAGCGAGGTCGCGGATGCAGGAACCTGTACGAGGTTAGGGAGGGGGCGTGGGTGAGGCTACAACAAAACAAAACACGATGAATGTCCCGATGTGCAAGCTGCAAGCAGAAGAAAGCCAGGGAAGATCGATGGTTAGTCCTCGACCGGTGCTCGCCTGTCGCCTCTCTCCGATCGGTCGCGCGCTGAATTATCCAGACAAATGCGCCCGACGGCGCCCACCGAGTCGAGTTCCGCGGACGCCGAATTTACAGTTCGGAGGTAATCGCTAAATATTTCGAAATCGGTCGGACGAGCGCGCACTTCGGTCGCACCGGGATTTGTTTATCGTTGTCGCGCCGCTGATGCGGTTTCGCGTTTCGTTCTCGCGATAATTCGCGGACTCGAGGCTAGCCGCGATGCATTTGGAATAATTGCGGCTGTCCGTCCGAGAAATCGTTATTTCGCGGTGCTTTCGGGACGGGAACTGTTAAAACTGGAAGATTATTGCATCGCGATGTTCCCGTTGTCTCATTGATTTTCATCGATCGAATGAAATTCTCTCGTTAATTTTCATGGATTAAACGACTTCCGCCATACCGATGCATGTGAGAGGTCGTTTCTATTTCTCTCTTTCTTTTTTTGCGATCGGGTAACTTACACTGAGAGGAAAAAATGATTAATCTCACTAAAATTACAGTTCTTCTTGGCGCTATAACCATATTTTTTGTTGTTCTAACAAAGAAATAATAGAAAGATATATTCATATAAAAAGTTACATAATAGCACTTACTACAAAAATAATCTTCCTGACTATAGTTAGTTTACTGTGCAATTATAGCCGCATAGAAATTTCCCAAGATTTTTCCAGATACAGCATGGTTTCCGGAAAGAATGCCCAAATTTGTCATTTAAAATTGGTTTTCCCTAAAATTAATTATCCTACCACAATACCAATTACGAATTTTATTCTTATTCCAAACATGAAACCGTCTAAAATTGAAACAGAAATATTATAGATACTCGCGCTATTTTCAGTCACTAACATCGGTATGCTTTTATGATGTCAAACAAAGAATTTTATTTTTATACTAACTATTGTATTCATTAGAATAAAAAATAAAATGAAAAATATTTTTAAAATACATATTTTATTGAATAATTAAATTATTTGAAAATCTAACATACGTTTTGTTCATTTCTAATATAGATGTGTCTAACAATTTATGACACACCCGTTATATACAGGTAGAACTCACGTATATCACGATTGTGATGGCAGACGTCGTTTATCTACCGTATTAGGCGTGATTATTTACCAATCATTTTTAATTAGTAACTCAAAATTTTACGTGATTTTTCGTAAAATGGTAGAGGAATTTTTTTGTTTGACCTAATCTGCATGTACACGAGAGTTGTCAAACACCTTATATATAGTATCATTGAATGGATTTTGTGTTCAGTTTGATTAATTCTACTTGCACACAACAGGTGTGTCATTAATTGTCAGATACCCGGTGTAAAATAAAAACCAAAGAGAATACTAGGAAAACTTTGGGGTTTCCATTTATATAGAACCGCATGTTTGAAACATTACACTTCTAACCAGAAGCTATAACTATATTTTGGAGAATCCGACTGGATCCCAATTGGATCCCAAGAAATTTTCTATGCGGCCGGTTATACATACCAAAGACTTTTCTCTCAGTGTACGTAACAAGTCGCGGTGATAGATCGACTTACCTTGACAGTGCCGCTAGATGCGCTAGAAGCGGGCGAGCGTCACGTCCTCAGCGAACGAAGAAAACTTATCCATATCTTGAGAGTGCAAGCAGGGAAAGAGAAAAAAAAACAGTCCTCCATTAAATATCTCGCGTGAGTCACGGGTGTGCCTTCGCGTGTTTGTTGAAAAATAACTGGAGCACAGAAATGAGTCTCTGTGCGCGATTGCGGTCGATTTTATCGACGATAATTAGAAACACATCGGAAACCGGTGCGCGACTTTCTGGGACGTCTCGTTCCCGTCAGAGCCGATCGAAGGCCGAGCACTTGCGGTCACGGTAATTTATACGATTCCCAGCGGAGCTGGGCCGAAAAATTCATGCGCTTGCACGAGCTTCTCACCCTCGTACTACGGCGACTGTCGATCCTACGGGTTCTTCAGGGCTCTTCACCGACCCCGTGGAGGAGCGAACGCGAGGGACGAGGTGTCGGGAAACGTTCACAGTTCTATTTCTGTCACTCGTGAATCATTCCGGTTACGTCTATCTCATCTAACACGTATAAGGCCCTCATACGGACGTACTGTAAGATGGACGATCGCGAAAATAACGTTCTTTTAACAATTGTTTTATAGACGATCTATTTACAATAGTAAGATCGCTTTTTTCGTTTCTTCTCCCGGCGAGGACAATAGAACGTAGCTCTGTTTAATTTAAAAATACATTATCCGTAGCGCAGGCGACGTATTGGTCATTTTTAGTCAAAGAAACCGTGTAATGTTAAGAAAGGATGTGTGAAAAATCCACACAGACGTAAGGATAGTTCCCAGATATTGTCGTTAGATTACTCGCACAGCAAGCATCTCTGAACTCGGAGTTACTCCGCTAATCTAGTTTTGTTATATAAGCATGGTTCGGATGTGTATCATTCTCAGTGTTTGATTTGTTAAACGATCGCCCAACGACGAGGAATTCGATGGGCACCATTGTAGTTTCTGATTAGATGAACATTGTGGCGGAATTTCGCTGATACGCCGCATTGTCCTGACGAGCCAATTACGGGGGTTACGTAGCAACGATGTACTGACGCGAAATTTAACCGTCGGGCGAATGCGAAATGGAGAATTCTCCGCAGAGAACTTTAACATTCAATAAACTTGCGGATAATAGCGCCGATAGCCGGCATTGTGCCGTTGCAGTCAGCTTGACCACTATTTGCGTCGTTTCGTGAATTTGTGCGCCGCCTCGGATTTACTGCATTAGGATTCATGTGTTTAGCTCGAAAACGGGAGGATCGTGCTGAGCGGCGCGTTTAGGTATATTAACACGTACCGTCATGGAACAAATTATTATCCAATCTCAACTCTTTTTTCCAGTCCGTATAAGATACAAACTTGCTGTGGAAAAAAAATATTACCAAGACTAATTTAATAAAATAGTATTACCATGATTTAAAAAAAACATCACCAAAATTTTGTATTTTCGATCTTAAGTTAAGGGGAGTATTATCATACTTGGAAATTTTGCCGATAAAATATATTAGCTTTTCTGCAAAGTTTACGTCGTATACTTTAAAAAATTATTGCAAAAATGAATTGGAGCATTGCTCAATATTTATTTATTTATTTACTTTATTAAACGGGAAAATATCCTTGTGGCACACAACAAAAAAGCAACATAAAGAAAAATAAAGGAAAGGAAAAAATAAAATCATAAAAGAGAAAAATGCGCAAAGAAAATGAAAATAATTTCAGAAATATAATAAAGAAATAATTGTTTAATCTGAGAGAATTGATTAAGATGTTTCATATAACGGTTTTAAAAGTATTTTACGACGTATAATGGATATCAACAATATCATAATAAATATTTGCTAACATGCATAAACGGTGAACATACGATAAAAATGGTAAAAAGAATATGAAAATCGATTTCTCAAGGTGTCAGTTAGTGTAAATATTTGCCTGACATGAAAGTTCTTCAGCTTGTATAGTTGGTTGCAAATCGGTTTGCACACTTTTTATCGAATAATGTTGCAGCGCTTAAAGTTGTCAGTATTGAAAGCCATTGATGTCATGTGTGTGCAGTAATCGCTTATAAATATATAAAAAAATTAGTTTTCCACATAAATATGTGTATGAAAGAGGGGGGGAGGGAAAGAGAGCCAGATGTTTTCTTAATCTAAAATAAATTCTTTCTTTCAAATTTCGCAAATATCACATTCTGTACTGTCACTTCAGCTCCTAGCATAATCGATTACTGCATGTCATCAGTCACACAACTCGATACTCTTATCTCTTACAACTGACAAGGTTATTATAATCCAATTATGGGTCTGCGAAGCAATTTGTAGGGAAGAAGAAACGAGAGAAAATCTGCGTGTCATCAGTCAACTTGAAGCATTACAAGTCGATTTGCAACCGACTGTATGTACTGAATGTGTGTGCTTCTTTCAAGTAAACTTCAAAGAGCATTTTTGTATTTTTACAATTGAATTTAAAAGCTTAGAAATATGTAAAAAATATATATTTTGGATATTTATGCTGTATGAGATATACAAGATATTTATATCTCTAATCGCGATTCAACTGAAAAACTCGCATTTAATTGTGAATTTAAATCAGAGTATCTCACTTGAGACAAGTTTCAAATAATGACTGTTAATACAGATCTAAATGTACAAAAAATACGAAAAGGGTAATGTGATCGTGTTAATCTTTATCTGACATATCGTTTTAATGGTTCCTATGTCATCGATAATTTTGGACTTCGTCGTTTACTGTGGTATCTTCTTAACTTTATAACATTGACTCGAAATAGTCGGCAATTTTTTGTTTGGCGTTATGACGTATCGATAATTCTTGATTTTGTTCTCAGGATTGATTTTACTCGTGAATTGTTGATCTCAAAAGACGCATGTAGCGTAAGCGACGTCTCTCGATTAAGGAGCGTTGAGATGATCGTTGGGCGAACATTTTATTTCCCCGGATTGCGACAAAGTTCAAGCGCGCGCGCGCGCGCGCTGCTTTACCTTCGAAACACTCCCCTATGTAAATTACCGTCGATACGAGCGCTTCTTTTTGTTTTATATTCTCTATCCCCCGTTGTTATCGGAAACCATTGAATTCATGATCGTTTCGCGGGCGGGAGGCGAGAGAGGAACGAGCGCGCTCTCGAATGAATAAAAGAGGCAATCGTGCCGGGGTGCGATGTAAATTCATTACACGTGTACGTCGAGCATTCGTCCGCGTTGCTTGTTTGTAGAGTCTAATCAAATATTGTCGAACGCTCATTCGCGCCATTTTTATAAAAGCTTCCTTGTCGTCGCCAATTAGCTCGTGGAAACCGCCCAGAGATGCGTTCATTCGTACGTCGCAGCTTATTCCGTAGTTAAAAAAAAAAACAGATTTGTACCGTAGATTTCAAGTTTACGTAGCTCTTTGCATATTGCATAGATTGCATATGCGCATTGTCTTCTTTTATGTATGTAATGTGAACTATATAGGATATTGTGAATTATATTAAAATATAAACTATTATATAAAACTATAATATAAAATATTAAAACATAAAATATATATAAAACAGAGTAATTAAATAATAAGACAATTATCTGTTTTGAGTGTGAATTATGAATATAATGTTTAGAAGAGATAATAAATTGCGTAAAATTTTCATTTCATTATATGACAGATTGGTAGATTTAACTCTGAAGGGGCAATTCTAACTTGCCTAAGAAACAACATTGCATTAGAATACTCTAAAGATTAAATAGAAATATAGACTTTTGATAATTAATTGTTTAGCAAGTCATACGTTCTTTGACATCTATAGATTACTCATTATCCACACAGATCACATCTCATATATAGAAAAATGGGATTGGAGCTCCCCAAAATCACGTTTTAGGAATATTTTTAAAACTTTGTGACCGATAGTAACGCGTAAACTATGGATGCGATCAATTAGCCGCAAACGCTTTGAAGCGTTTAAAGAGAAGTCATGATTAGTCTATACGGCGCTTCAAAGTATCTGCAGTGTTTAATGGATCGCATTTTTTTCATAACCTTAACGTGATAGAATATTTTTACTTGCAAATTCGGATTCAGCGCATAAACAATTACAAGAAACTATTCTTGTTTCCCAAACCGCAAAATCATGCATTATACATTATCTATATAGATGACATTTCATACAGTTTTACGTTGCGTAGACATAGGCTGTTACTACGAATTCTCTTTTGCCAATAAAAGTGCCTCTAAATGTGCTTATGAGTCGATTGGAAGACTTATAAGTCACATTTAGAGGTACTAATCTAATTGATAAAAGAAATGTCACACACGGAAAAAAAGGTTTGGTTGAATTAACCAAATATCTGGTCGATTATGAACGATCCAGAAATTCCGATTGAAGTAACCCGAATTCTGTTTAAGTTAACAAGATGTTTGGTTGACTTAAACAGAATTCGGGTTACTTCAATCGGAATTTTGGATCGTTTATATTTGACCAGATATTTGGTTAATTCAACCAAACCTTTTTTTCCGTGCAGAATAGGGACCATAGAGGGATCATAATTTAAACGCGTCAACGTCCAAGCTTGATTAAAACACCACTCGAAAATAGCAGTAGGCTACGCGTTAACCGCGTATGTTAATTGGGATCACGGATACCAGTAGGTCCATCAGACACGTTAACCGGATCGAACCATCTTCTCGTTGCGTTAGCGTGTCGCGTCTGGACAGACACGACGAACTCTATAGGAATAATTCCCGGCGCCGTAACGCGGGCTTGGCCGGTCGAACGAGGGATCGCCGCAATTTCGGTAAAGGCGGAATCCTAAGCGCGTAGGCTCGGTAATTCTCCCTGTCTGCCTGGAGGAAGGTAACCGGTGTGCCGCTCTCGATGCCCGGTATACATCAGATGCCGGGGCGTATTGGGTGGCCCCGCCACGATAATACGTATCGGACTACATTTCACGGTTGATCGAGGCCCGGGCCGGCGCCATAGACTATTTCCCAAAGGATTCCCAGAGCGATATAATGGGTTTGCCAAGGTATAACGTAGCTACCTAACTCTATCGTATTACCGGGACCGACC